CGTTTTTTAACACATCTATACATGTATGTGTATAGGAGTTGACAATGCAAAGCGTATTTTCTACTGTGAGTTACGGGAAGAAAGTAGAAAAGTGTGTACTTTCTTTCATAGCCATCAGCTGGGTTGTCTATCTGCCTGATTCCACTGGCTGCTGCAGTCATCATTTCTCCCGGTTTGGGCTTCGCCTGGATCCTAACTCTCTCACGTCATTTTCTATGTTTACCTTTGTCCTTTCCCTGGATGTTGACCTTGTTGCCTGGATACTACTTTTATTTCATTTTTGTGCCACTTACAAAACAAAAATTGCTGATCATAAAAGTATTTAGGATCAGAATATAAAAATATTTAATGAAAAATAAACTCCCCTATACGCCCATCAAAGATTATCACTTAATATTTTGTGTGTACTTTCCATAGATATGTATGTACATATATGTAAATATTTTTGAACTTACATATACATCTAAATAAAATATTTAAATAAAATTGGAATTATGTAGTATACAGAAGTACACAGCATTTTACAATTTGTTTATTTAAGTATTTAGTACAAGCCACTTTACTTTGCCGCCCAGGCTGGAGTGCTGTGGTGCGACCTTGGCTCACTGCAACCTCTGCCTCGAAGTTCAAGTGATTCTTGTGCCTCGGCTTCTTGTGTAGCTGGAATTATAGGCGTATGCCACCACACCAGGCTAATTTTTGTTATTTAAAAGAGACGGCAGCGGGGGGAGGGTCTCACCATGTTGGCCAGGCTAGTCTTGAACTCCTGACCTCAAGTGATCCACCCACCTCAGCCTCCCAAAGTGCTGGGATTACAGGTGTGAGCCACTGCCCCCAACACCACTTTTCATATTATTCAATATTTCTCTCCTACATTATTTTTTTTTCAGTTACCTGTTTTTTTTTTTTTTAATTGTACTTTAGGTTCTGGAGTACATGTGCAGATCACGCAGGATTGTTGCATAGGTACATACATGGCAATGTGGTTTGCTGCCTCCATCCCACCATCACCTGTATCTGGTATTTCTCCTCATTATCCCTCCCCACCCTCCCCACCCCCAACTGACCCTTAGCCTCCTCAACTGACCGCAGTATGTGATGCTCCCTTCCCTGTGTTCACATGTTCTAATTGTTCAACACCCTTCTATGAGTGATAACATGCGGTGTTTTCTGTTCTTGTGTCAGTTAGCTGAGAATGATGGTTTCCAGATTCATCCATGTCCCTATGAAGGACACAAACTCATCATTTTTTATGGTTGTGTAGTATTCCATGGTGTACATGTGCCACATTTTCTTCATCTAGTCTATCATTGATGGACATTTGGGTTGGTTCCAGATCTTTGCTATTGTAAACAGTGCCACAATGAACATATGTGTGCATATGTCTTTATAATAGAAAAATTTATAATTCTTTGGGTATATACCCAGTAATGGGATTGCTGGGTCAAATGGAATTTCTATTTCTAGGTCCTTGAGGAATCGCCACACTGTCTTCCACAATGGTTGCACTAATTTGCACTCCCACCAACAGTGTAAAAGTGTTCCTATTTCTCCACATCCTCTCCAGCGTCCGTTTTCTCCAGATTTTTTAATGATCGCCATTCTAACTGGCATGAGGTGGTATCTCAATGTGGTTTTGATTTGCATTTCTCTAATGACCAGTGATGATGAGCAATTTTTCATATGTTTGTTGGCCTCATATATGTCTTCTTTTGTAAAGTGTCTGTTTATATCCTTTGCCCACTTTTGAATGGATTTGTTTGTTTTCTTTCTTGTAAATCTGTTTTAGTTCTTTGTAGATTCTGGGTATTAGCCCTTTGTCAGATGGGTAGATTGCAAAAATTTTTTCTCATTCTAACATTATTCTTTTTACATATAAAAAAATTTTCTTTTAGTAGAGATGAGGTCTTGTTATGTTGCCCAGGCTGCTCTCGAACTCCTCAGCTCAAGCAATCTGCTTACCTCAGCCTCCCAAAGTGCTGGGATTACCGGCATAAGCCACCAAGCCTACTCTCCCACATTAATCTTAAAGGTTATATAATATCATGCTTTATGAATATATCATGGCTTATCTATCCATATCCTTGTTGTTGCATATTTAGATAGTTTTCTCTTTTTTTTAGAATTGAAAGACACACTGAAATCCTTGTAGAAATATCCTTATCCATTTCCATAATCACTTCCTTTGGATGAATTCCCAGAACTCGAATTGTTAGGTCAGAGCTATACCTATACTACATACACATCCAGGCTCCCTCCAGGAATGTAGTACCAAGTTACACTCTAACCAGCACCCAAGACATGAGAGGCCCTTGTTGCTCAGCTTCTTCAATAACATTTAAAACATCTCTTAGTCAATGTGATTAATAAAAAAATAGTATCTTTTTTAAAAGTCTGTGCTCTTTATTAGGTACCTGAACATTTTTCATAAGTTTATGGGGTCATATGTATTCCTTCCTCTGTAAACTGACTTTATATTTATTGATTTATTGATTTATTTTAAATACAGAGGGAACATTTGTTTTTTAATTCTTTGGAAAAGTTTTTTTTTTTGTTCAAAGCTATTTGAACTTCACACATCTGATATAAACATTTTCCTAGTTTGCAGCTTAAGTGAAATTGTTTTTAATTATAAAAATAATAAACACGTTAAAATAGAGTTGTCCTCTTTTCTTATTTCAATTCACCCCTCAAAATGTCATTTGCTTTTTAATTTTGTATGGAACTTTTGACATAAAGTTCTTATATATTCAAATAGTCAAATCTATTGACCTTTTTTTCAGTTTCTGCCTTAGTTTGTTAGAAATAATCTTAATGCATTAAGACAAGTATATTCACTTACACTTTCTTCTAAACTTTTTATCATTTAATTCTTAAATTTAATTCTTTAATACATTTGTAATTTATTTTGCTACATGATGTAAAGTTGTGATTTCTAAGCCTGGCGTGGTGGCTCATGCCTGTAATCCCAGCAATTTGGGAGGCTGAGGCACACCTATAATCCTAGCACTTTGGGAGGCTGATGCGGGCCAGTCACGAGGTCAGGAGATCGAGACCATCCTGGCCAGCATGGTGAAACCCTGTCTCTACTATAAATACAAAAATTAGCTAGGCGTGGTGGTGTGCACCTGTAGTCCCAACCACCCGGGAGGCTGAGGCAGGAGAATGGCTTGAACCTGGGAGGCGGAGGTTGCAGTGAGCCGAAATTGCACCACTTCACTCGAGTCTGGCGACAGGGCAAGACTCTGTCTCAAAAAAAAAAAAAAAAAAAAAAAAAAAAAAAAAAAAAAAAAAAAGTTGTGATCTATATATTTTTCCAAATAGTTAACAATGTTCTTTAACCCAAGCACATTATCTGCTGCAGTGTTTTGCCTTTTTTTTTTTTTTAAACCTTTCTTTAAATGACGGCTTCATTGGGTGTGAGGGTAGTGGTAAGAGGATCCTTGGGGGCTGGGACTTTGTAGGTTTTGCCTCCTCAATACCAAGAGCGCCGAAGGAGTAATCTAACATCCCCATCTGCTGGACACCCCTCCGGTGGCACTCCCTCCCCTGGCTGCCCCCCACACCTCAGATTTCCAGCTGCTCTTTCTCTTCCTTCCTGGGCCCTTGCTCCTGTACCCATCGTTTGAGAATTAAGGAGCCCCTCACTTCCTCTCTTGTGCAACCTTTGCCAAACTCGAGGCATCAACAACTCCCTATATTTACCAGCCTTCAAATACTGGCGTCCCTCCCAGAGCCCTATGCTGAGTTCCTGTCCATGAAAAAAACACCGACACGTATCTCAGTATCGTTTCAACCCGAACATGTTCAAAACTGAACTCATATATCCCGCCTAATCCAAATCCTTTTTTTTCTCCTGTTGTTTAACTTAAGAGAATGGGGCCACCATCCTCCCCATTTCCTAAACAAGAAACCTGGGAGCCAGCCCATATACATCGTCTCTTCCCTATTCTGTCATGAAATCCTATTGCTTCTACCCTTAAATATCTCTTGACATACTTTCCTTTATCCCCTCCCAGCCACCCTCGGCCTCATTGGTTTCTAGATTCCTGCAGAACCTTTGTTCTCCCCGCTGCCCCTCTGGAGTCCGTCATCCTCATTTCCACGGCAGGAACACTTCTAAGGAAACAGGAAACACGGGGTGCTCTGTCGCACTGCTTTCCCCACTGCCCACGTGCGCCTCCTGGGGGCTCCCCCTTTTCACCCCAGTGAGAAGACCCCTGCTGCTGTGGCCCGGGTCCGCCCCATGTTTCATAGGGCAGCAATTCAGTGCCAAGAGAGGACGGGAAGGGGAGGCGAGAGGTTTTTAGCAGGGGCTTTGGATTCAGGACCTGTTTGGAGCCCAACTCCTGTTGGTCAGGGAAGTAATTCAGCCTCCCTGGGCCCGGTTTCCTTGGGTGTATCCAGCTCTACCCCAGCCCCGCCGCAGCCCACCGCCCGGCCGGTGTCGACAGCCTGACTGGAGGCTCCCTGCAGACAAGGGCACAGTGGCTTCAACGCTGCATCGTCCGTGCCTGGCACGGGGAGTGGCCCAAAGCGCTGTTTGTGACTGAACGCACCAATTTTCTGGTTTGCAGACGACGGGATGCAGCGCGCGCCGCGCCTGCACCGTGCTGGGGGTCCCGGGGTCCGGACTGGACGGCTCCGACGCCGCCCGCGGCCACCTTGGGCGCAGGCAGGTGCGAGGACCGCGGCGAGGCCCCTCCGTCCCCGCCCGCCGCCTGGCCAGGCGCTCCCTCCCTCCCGGCAGCCGGCGAGTCCGCTCCGGACATCCGCCCCCACCTTTCCGCGAAGCCCGGCGCCCGCGGGGCCTGCCTCGGAGGTCGGGTCAGTGGCCTCCAGCCTCGCTCCCCGGCCCCAGCCCGCAGCCGCCGCGGCCGCGGAGAGGAGCGCACCTGACCCAGGCGGGCGGGCGGGGCGGAGCGGCGGGCGGGGCCCGGGGCTGACGTGGCCCGCGGCATGGAGCGGGCGTGATTCATCAGCAGCCGCGCCGGGGCGGCAGAGGGGCGCGCGGCGGCCGCCTAGGCGCCCGGGGCCAGGCAGCGGCGGCGTCCCTGTCCCGGCTCGCTTCGCCTGCGCTTCTCTCCTTGTGGGCGGCGGCCCGGCGCCTGGAAGGTCAAGATGGAAGAGATCCTGAGGAAGCTGCAGAAGGAGGCGTCCGGTAGCAAGTACAAAGCCATCAAGGAGAGCTGCACCTGGGCCCTGGGTAAGCGCCCGGCACCTGCTCGCCGCGGCGGGAGGGCCGCGCGGCCGGGGCTGAACCGGCGTCTCCGCGCGTGGGGCTTTCGCGGAGCGTGGGTCGTGGGTGCCGTTCGCGCGATGGCGAGAGTCGCCTCGGGGAATTGATGTGGGATTTGAGAGTCTTGGCTCGGGCGTGGACATCAGCCACCTCCCCTGCGGTCTCTTTCTCTCTCCAAAACCTTTCCCCGGAACCGCTGTCCTCCCCGCCCCGCAGGCGGCCCCCTTCTCCCGGTCCCCGTGCTGGGGACGACGCTTCCCCATCGCCGAGTTAAGCAGGACCCCGAGCCGGTGCGAATGCTGGGGCCTGAGGGCGAAGCGCCTCTGGGGAAGAGGGAAGTTAAACCAACAACCCCGATGTTGAATCCTTGGCGAGTGGAACCAGGAAGGAAAGGCTTGTTTAATTTTATTTTCCCGATAGAGGTCAGCTTCCTAAGTGTTAGCTTTCATGGTTACTGCACATGAAAAATAACATACGGGCGGATATCATGTTACCTCTGCAATTCTGTTGTGGTCTGCCCTTCAGACAGGTGGGATTTCAGGTTTGCGAGCTGTGCTAGCATTGAAATAAGTTCCGGGGAGCAAATTTACGTTTCTCGTCAGACTCAGGTTGTGGAACTCAGCAGCGGATAAAACGAAAGGCCGTTTCAATTAGGCGGGGATTTGGGCATCAAAATTGTCAGGATGGTAATACAAAGAGATCAGAAGCATATTTTGGGTGATAGTGATGCTTTTTAGAAAGGAAAGGCCAAGAAGAAGCCAGCGTAGCTCTGTGGGCTCCTTGCTTTGCCTTGCCGGAGCCTGATGTGATGCCTCAGTTGCCACTCAATTGAAAAATGAAATTGACTCCTTTTCCCTTGCAACCAAGAACCATCACTCTCTGTCATGACACTGTGTATGCTGTGATGTAGCCTGAGATAGTGAAGAGCCTTTAGCAGGCTTTCCACTAAATGTAAAATTCTGTGAGTGGTTTAGGTGACTCTTAACATGTAGATGGTCTTAATTCACATATGCTTGGGTGTGTGTACAGACAATTACAGCAACATCATTTTGTTAAACCTGTGCATATCATCGTGATATTATCTAGAATACTGTCTAGGAAGTTTGTTTTGTAGGTAGAACCAGCACTTGACCATTTTAGTTTACTGTGAACGAAAAATGGACCAGATATATGAGAGAGCAGCAAGGCTCTTAAAGCCACAGTACAATTTTTTTGCGTGGCCATTGTCATTCAGCAGAGTGCTTTGAAGCTAGATTCCAAAATGCCTCTAATGAAGGGTCACAGATGGCTGGGTAACATGATAAAGCAGGGCCCAATTGTGCTTTAAAAATGCCATTCCTAGTATACGTTATTATTTTGCTACAAATTAAGCAGAGTTAGATAAACAGGGAGGAGGAGTGCAATCTAGCATTTTAATAACTTTGAATACTGACATTCAACATCTTAATAAGTTAAACCACAACATTGCTGAGTTTAGGTTCCTTAAAGCTATGGGAAAGCTGAGCCTTAAGGCAGGTAGATTACTTGAGTCAAGCCCGAAATAAATCAGCCTGAGTGGATGTGCTTCCTTTCCCGGTGATTGTTCCATAATTAGCAAGAAGTGCATGAAGTAGTTAAATAATAGTGCAGGGCATTCATTATGCAGTTGGATTGAGCAAACCAGGAAAACAAGTCAAAGAAGGGAGGATAGATATGGGGTCCATGGGTTGTGGGGGAATTGGTGTGAGCTGGTGGGGCTTTTGAAGTACATTTCACTTGAAGAATGGGGAAGCTGTGGGTTCCTTCTTTCCTTCACTTCTTTATTTAGCAAACATTGATTAAAACCTCCCTAGTACTGAGCTTGGGATACATGGATGAATAAAATGTCCCCTATAAGGAGTTTGTTAGAAGGGTATACTGGAAACATGAACAAAGGCATGGAGATAGGTTTTCCTGTTGTTTTTCCCACTCGAGTCCATTTCCACTGCCCATCACTGTTTAGATTACAAAACACCTGCCACCCTTCAACCCCCATAATTCATTTCTAGATTAAAGTATAAATTCCTCAGAATGCTCTTCAGAATTTAGCCCCAGCCTCTATTCTTGTCACTCCCCAACCAAGATTCAACAATCTAGTGGCAGTCAGCTGCAGCACTTTGTTGAACATGCTGTGCAGGGAATTCCTTTTCAGACTCTGCCATTTACAACTTGTTTAGGAAACATTCCCTGAGCTCCACAATAGGATCAGTTGCTTGCCTGGGTTCAGATCCTTGTCTTCATTCTCATCGAGTACCTACTACTTTGGATAATAGTTGATTGTGTGCACAGGTAGGCTCTTATGGACAGTATAAATTGACAAATATGTTGGGTGCAAGAGACAAAAACAACAACAACAACAACGAGTTTAAGCTGACTTATGCGAAGCAGGATTTATTTGCTCCTTTAACTAAAATATCTCTTACAAGAATACCTGTGATTTAGGAGTTAGACACTGTTTCAGGGATCTTGTCCTGCTCTTTGTGGATTGGCTGACATGCTCTGCATGGGTCTCCACAGTTTTGGTCTCATGGATCAACACACTTAGACTGTCTCATGAAAAGAGGCAACAATAAACTTAGACCATCTCAGGAAAACAGGGCTCAGCCCCTCATTTAGACCATCATGAGAGGAGCAAGTCAACCCTACTTAGGTCATCATGAGACAGGGGGGTCATCTCTCACTTAAACCCTCATGAGAGAGATGGGTAATTCTCCACTGAGACCTTCATGGGAGAGAGGGGTCATCCCCACTTAGACCCTCATAAGGAGCAAGGGGTCATCCCCCACTTACACCATCATGGGAGAGAGGGGTCATCCCCCTCTGAGACCCTCATGGGAGAGAGATCATCCTTTACTTAGACTCTCATGAGAGAGGGGGGGCATTCCACACTGAGACCCTCATGAGAGAGAGGGGTCATGCTTCACTGAGACTGAGACCCTCATGGGAGAGGGTGGTCATTCCCCACTGAGACTTTCATGGGAGAGAGGGGTCATTCCTTACTGAGACCATCATGGGACAGAGGGGTCATCTCCCTCTGAGACCCTCATGGAAGAGAGGGATCATTCCTCACTGAGACCTTCATGGAAGAGAGGGGGCATCCCCCTCAGAAAGCCTCACATGAGAGAGGGGACATCCCTCTCTGAGACCCTTGTGGGAGAGGGGTCATCCCTTACTTAGCCCCTCAGGAGGGACAGGGTCATTCCCCACTGAGACCTTCATGAGAGAGAGGGGTCATCCCCCTCTGAGACCTGTGGGAGTTCAGTTAGGGTGGTGGCAAAAATATTAAGGGAAAAATATTAGATAAAGTTATAGAATGTAGTGATAAACCTTCTTGGAAGGTTAAGAAGTTTGCATAATTTCAGTAGACGTTTCAGCTGAAGGCAGCCTTACCCTATTTACCTTTAGTTGATAAGAAAAGCAAATAGCTAGGAAATGTGGGAAAGTTTACCTGAATAACTTGTTTACTCATGTGGTTCTATAACCTTGGATCATTCTGGTTGGCTCTCTTGGGGCAAGGTCCACCAGGGATATTAGCCACTAACGGTATTCGCTTTAGGCCTCAGAACCTGTCCTTTAATCTCTTCACTCTAGTAGTGTTGACTCAAAGGTTTTGTTACTTAATGTGTGCTAAACAAAGGCCAGAGAGGCCAGCTTGTCGGGGCTGCAGTGGCTGTTATCTCTTTACAGCACTGTCCTCGAGTGCCTCTAAATGGCCACGGACACTCAGCCTGCTTTTACACTGAAAATCTGTGTCTGAGTGAATTTATTCATCCGTCATTGAGTCAGGGTCTGCAGGGCAGACCCCCTCAGGTGGTGACCCCAACAGACCCTCATGAGAAAGAAGGGTCATTCCCCCCTCTGAGACCCTCAAGGGAGAGAGGCATCATCACTCTCTGAGACCATTTTGAGATACATGGTCATTGCAATATTTGGACCATATCAAGAGAGTTGAACTTTTCCAGTGACTCCTGCTTGATCCTCGGTTTCCCTTGTTCTCTTTGTCCTGATGGTTCATGTGAGTATCCTTGAACCAATCCTCTAGCCAAAGAATGGAATGGAATAACTAGCTTAGGCCTAGGCTATAAGTTCCACTGAAATCCAGAGCTGGGGAAAAATGACTTCCTGGAAGTAAAATTAGGATGCTCCTTCAGAAGGCAGGGGAACGGATACTGGTCAGTCAAAACAATACCTGTCAGCAGTGTAGTGAACTCTTCAGCAAAGGGACTGTTGTTTATGCTTCTTTGGTTGCTTCTGCACCTATAGTGGAAGGCAGATGTTCAATAAGTAAGTCAATACTTTAATTACTTGTTTGAGTTTTAAATAATATTCATCTTTTTCTATTTATAAGAGTTATATATGTTCATTTTAGAATGTTGCAAATAATGGAACAGCATGAAGAAAAAATTAAAATAATCTACAGTCTCCCTACCCAGAGATAACACTGTTGACATCTTGGAGTCTTTTCCTTTTGCAAGAGGTCATACCACATATGGCATATTGTCATGTGTTTTTTAACTTTAGCATCTTCTTCTACTTTATCTACTTTGTCATTACACTTCTCTGAAAATTAGTGTTAATGGCTGAAGAATAACTAGCAAGGCATATTCTCTTTATTTAGTGCTATCTGGTTGTTTTTGTCAGTGAGGAATAAGCCTGGCCAGGGAGTAGGAAACAATGTACTGGATGAAGGGTTAGCTTGGGGAAAGGCAGAAAGATCTTCAGGAACTGGCAGTCCTGGGGGCTTGTGAGCTAGGCTGTGGTAGGTTGAAACAGAATGGCAGAACAGGAGAGCTGTCACGTTCTCCATTTGGAAGCTTTTAGCATTTTATATCTATCAGAGGCCTTATGCAGGATGGAAGTGGTAGCAGGGAAAGAAACTAGAGGCACAAAGGCCAAGTAGGGAAAGAGGGAACATCCATCCAACCAGCACCCTTCTCTATATCACCTACCTGCTTTTTCTTTCAGCCACAGCTTGTTACTTCACAGCCAAACTCCTTAAAAAGTTTAGAAATTGTATCTGTGTTCTCACCTTCTACTCTCTCTTCATCTCACTGTCATCTGCCTTTTACCTCCATTATCCCACCAACTCACAGTTACTGAAGAACAGTAACACATGTGGCCATCTGGCTGGCAGACTATTCTCACTCCCATCTCACAGGTCCTCCCAGTGACACTGGACATACCTGGGCACCTGCTTTACCTTGACTTCTATGACCACACCCTACCAGTTCCATCTTGGTTCTTGAGCCACTCTGTCTCCTTTGCTAGCTCCAAATTCTCTCCCCAGTTGTAAATATTTGAGTTTCTCAAGGGTTAGCTTTGAGCCCTCATCTCTTACTCCTAGCTCCTCTAGAGTTGAACACACATATACTGACAGCTTCAGCTCCATTTCTGAGAATGCGATGCTAGTGTTTGTATAACTTGTCCACACTGGTGGTCTGAAACCCACACCCTACAACATAGCTACCTACTGAACATCTCCACCTGGATGTCTCAGCAGGCACTCAGCTCACTAAGGCTCAAAGTGACCGTGTGCTCTTCCCCATGTCCACCTCACCGCCAGACCTCACTCACCTCTAGTGTTTCTAAATGATCAGTTGATGCCATCACCTGTCCAGTTGCATTAACCTGAGATCCAGTCGTCCTTGATACATTTCTGTAATTTGCCATCTTACCTAGTCCATCACCCAAGCTCTGCTCATTTTTACCTCCTAAATATATCTCAAGCCTGTCCACTTCTTTCCACCTCTGTTGCCAGCTCTCCAGAATAAGCTACCTTCCCTTTTTACTGGACTTCTGCAACACCCTCCTAACTACTCCCTCCTTGTTTGCTCTAGTTCTTTTTCCCCAAGTAGTGTCACCTTGGAAACCCCAATCGTTGCATGATATGCCATGTTAAAACACTGAATGGCATCCCATTAGGATGAAAACAAAAGTCCCCAGTGTGTTCTGTCCAGCCCTACATGGCCTGGCTTCCACCTGCCCCTCAGCCTTGTCCTATGCCACCCTCCTCCTTGCTCTCTGAATTTCAGCCACACTGACCTTTCAGTTACTCAGATGGGCTGTGCTCCCTCTTACTTCATTCATTCAGCAAATACTTAGTGATTACCTACTGTGTGCCAGGTACTGTTCTAAGTGTTAGAGATAACATGGTGAGCAAAACAGGCAACATGATCCTGTCCTTCCCTGATTAGAGTTTACAGACTCTTAGAGGGATGACAGCCAATAATCAAGCTAAATAAATAAAATATACATGACAGCAAAGAGACTGATAAGAGCTAAGGGAAAACATAAAACAGTGAAGAAGATAGGAGGCACCTGGAGTAAAGGGGGAGTTGCCATTTAAATAGGGTATTCAGGGATATTTACCAAAATATACCCAAAGGGAGGCTGCTAGTTGGGAAAATATCTGCTGGCTTCAGGAAAGAGCAAAGAGGCCAGGGGGCTGGAGCGAAGGGAGCGAAGTAGGAAATGAGGACTGAGATCAGGAAAGTCCTTGTTGGGCTCTCTGCGGGAGAGATGGGAGTCATTTGGAGTGGAGGAAAGAAGTCCTCTCATTTGGGTCTTGACAGGGTCTCTCAGGCTACTGTGTTAAGCAGAGACTGCAGCTTCCAGGGCAAGCCCCAAATCTGGTAGCCCAGGACAGGGGCTGGTACAGGTGAGAGAAGGTGGCAGCTTGGACCTGAGTGGCAGGACAGAGTCAGGAAAGATGTTGGGCTCTCCAAGCATTTCAAACTTATTATTCCCTCCACTTGCAGTACCCCCTCCTTATCTGTTTTAAATAAATCATTTTTGGTCTCATCGCCCCCAGCAAGGAAGTGTGACCTCACAGTCCACAGTAGGACCTCCTGTTTCACTTTTGCCCAGTTCCCTATATTTTCCTTCTTGGCATTTATGATACTTCGAAATGAGAATGTGCATCCATGAATTAATAGACCATGTCTGTTCTCACCACTGGGTCCCTAGCCTAGGACCTGGTCCGGTATTTAGTGGGAGAATCAAAGAAGGGAGACAGGAATTGGCACTGGCATCTAAGGACTGTGTCAGGCCCTTTATGATCATGATCCTTTCAGCTCCTCACAAGCATTTCAGGAGGAAGGTGTCATTGACGTCTTTCTAAAGATGAGGGAACTGAAACTTACAGAGGATAAGTGACCTGTTCCCATCGCAGTGTCACAAGCTGGAGTGGAGCTGGGACTGGAACCTGGTTCTCTTTGCTTTCCTTGTTGATGCTTCCGTGGTGCCCTCTCCCCAGCTACCACTCCATCCTGAGTGCTTATAGCAAAGCTGCAGGCTGTTTTCTCCTTGACCTTTGGATGCTCTCCACCTTGGTTCCCACACTTAGCTCACATGCCTGGGAGTCTTACTGCACTTAGATGCATAGGTTCATGGTGGCTGCTGTGTGACTGCCTTTTCTCTTTTCCTTTTCTTCTAGCTCACTCTTAGCCTTGCAGAGCTGGGCAGTTACACAGCCTTAGTTGGCTACATTTCCCTCTGTCCTGTGGGAAAGCCATGCTGATCTGGTTGTTCAGTGTCACTGCCTCTCCTTGGGGAGCAGCATCAGCTTGTCCTGGGCACCAATCCCTGCCATGCTAACTGGTGTGCACTGTGCTGGTCTGTATGGCCTTTGAGCTGCTTCCTGTACCTGCATCTCAGGGCTTCCCTTTCTTGACATCCTGTCTCATCTTAAGCATTGACACTTCAGTGATTCATTTTCCTCTGTTGGCCTTGTCTTCACAGGTACCAAGTATCCTGCTGAACTCATCTTTCTGTTCTGCCAATTGTTTTTCTGAAATCCACTCTTTTGCCCCATTGGCCACATCAAGCCCAGATCCTATCAAGCCTTTCTTAGCCTTGAGTCTCTCATCTATAGTTCATGTTTGTTATTCTCTCTGATCTCTGAGCAAGGTGGGAAGAGATGTTTCCTTCCCCAGTGAAAATAATTCAGATAGACAGGGCTTGTTGACTCTAAGGAGTTAAGAAAGGGGTTAACACAATTTGAGCTGCAAGACTGGAGACAGTTGGAATGATTAAAATAGAACAGTTTTTTGGGGAAGAGACTGGTGAGCTTTTCATTATCTCTAAAATTGGAGGCAGCAATAGTGTGAAAAATCCATGAACAATGGTGAAGTATTGACCATCCAGATTGGATTAATGAGATTTTGGTGTGAGCCTTCCAATCGGTATCCTAACTATACTGTGATATTTTTTAAAAAACAGTTTAATATACCATGTCACAAATGTGTGTGAGAATAATGAGATGCTATGTAAGTGCTTTGTGAACTTGAAAGTCTTTCACGAGTATGAGTTATTGTGTAAGGATATTGAAACAGTATTTTCAAGGAAATAGCTTTTTTTTCCCCTCTATTTTTATTGCAAGAATATAGTATCTTCGTCAGTTGTAACTAGATTCAATGGTTCAGGTTAGGAATTTAACCATTCTTTACCTGTATAGGGAAATGTGCCCTAATTTTTAACTTTCCACTCCCCAATAGTTTGCAAGGTCCAGAAAAATATCTGGGGCTTTCAAGGAAAAAGGATTTTAAAATATGAAAGACTTGCATGCAGATGATTGAGAACTGACTAATTTATAATTAGAGGAATTCCTGGAGAAAAGAGAAACTAACAGAGAAATCCATGTACGGTGTATATTCTCAGTGTTTAAGTGTTTATTTTTAACTTTGTAATTTTCCTTTTGCAGAAACTTTGGGTGGTCTGGATACCATTGTCAAGATCCCTCCACATGTACTGAGGTAGGAGATGGACATTGAATAATATCACAAAAGTCAACATTGTCCACGGTATTTTCCTGAAGCCCCAGATAACCACATTGGCTTGCAGCGTGTCTTAGTTTGTTTTGTGCTGCTATAACAGAATGCTACCAACTGGGTAATTTATAATGAACAGAAATTTATTGGTTCATGGTTCTGGAGGCTGAGAAGTCCAAGATCAAGGGGCCACATCTAGTGAGGGCCTTCTTCCTTCATCATTTCAAAGGTTAGAAGGACAAAAAGAGGCTAGATCAGAGGAGAGAAGGGGACTGAATACACTCTTTTATAACAGCCCCCATTCCCATGATAACAGCATTAATCCATTCATGGGGTCAGAGACCTCATGGCCCGATTACCTCTCATTAGGCCTGACCCCCAATACTGTTGCATTGGGGATTCAGTTTCCAACACTTACTTCTGGTGGGGACACATTCAAACCACAGCAGAGCATTTTACTTGCTGACTAAAGACTTTCTTGCACCCGTGAGCTGGGGTCTTTCATGAGGTTAGCATTATGTGAACCTGATGGCATTAGCTCCACCTATCTGTGGCAGGAATGACGTCAGTGACCTAAAGGAACCAGCCATGGAAGTCCATGGTAAAAGGATCAAATTGGTCAGGTAGAGACATGACCAAACCTTACATGAAGGAGTAGAAAGAAAAATGTGTTTCCCCTGAAGAGGATGCAGCCCTACACCAGGTAGTGTGGATTTAAGCTCTGATTGGCCACCTTGGCTGGACATCATTTAGCAGACTATGAAGTCCACAGCCACATGCGGCAGCCCCCAGGCAGTGAACCTATTTCCCCACTTTCTTCACCTCCCCCATACCTTCTCCCGACTCTCACTGAGAGAGAAATGCCTGCCCTCTGTAGGAAAATTGGAAAGAACTATAGAACAAAAAAGGAAGTCGTCCATAACTACATCACCTAAGGATAACCACTGAAAACAGTTTAATAGAATTTCTTAAATGTCTTTTTCTATGCACATATATTTTTATAAATTAATATAAAATTTTATTTACGACTTTGTTGCCCGCTTGGTTTCTTTTACTCAGTACCATATGAAGAATATTTTCTGATGCCAGTATCTGTTCTTCAAATTAAAATGTTACGTATGCTTCCATTATATGGCTGTAGCATAATTTATTTAGCAGTTTTCTTATTATTCACCATTTGGGCTGTTTCCAGGGCTTTCTTTGAGATTATAAAATATATTGGACTATAACCCTTTGTTGAGTATGGTTTCTATGTTGTCAGGATACTATGATTGATTAGATATTTTCTCTCTTATAAAGTAGATTGAACAAAATTTATGTTTCTGTCTTTTTAACAAATTCATTACTTCTCCTATAGTAGCTGCTACAGGTTTACATATTGTAAGGGAACCCCGTGTGTTACACTGAGTGCACTTCTGTGTGTACAAAGCTTTTACATGAACAGAATGTCTGGCAACAACGTATTTGTCTAGCGGAGAGGTGCAGCCGGGGTGTCCAGCACATTGGAGGATTTGAGGACTTTCTATGAGCTGTGAAGGCATGGGTAGTTTAAAGGAGTCAATTTCCTGGCCTCCAGCTTCTGTAAGTTCTCTTTCTTATAACCGATTTGCTTCAAAACTGATGTTGACATGTCTCTTTTTCCACCTCACTTTCTGCTGTCACTCTGCTTCTGCTTGACAGAGAAAACCATACCTGTTACCCACCTTGTGTCTGACAGTAGTGGGTTGCCCTGGGGTACAGAAATCTTGTCCCACCCACAAGAGATTATAAAAATATTAGTGTCCATATTGGTAAAGGGAGTGATTATAAGGACCAGAAAACACGTCATTTTTCAAGTTAGGTAGTTTTAACTTCTTGGCTTTCAGCAATATTGAAGGAGCTGTAAGATGATAGACAAAAAGATTTTTTTTGATAATGTCTCTTTCATTCCCTTAGTATTTATGTAAACAAGGTTTCTTACTGCTTGTAATTATAAAAGTGAAAAAGAATGGGTATGTAATTGGTGCCAAATTCTACCTTATTATGTAACAATAGAAAACTCTTGTCCATAGGCCTATGAACTAATTGGGGGAAATATAAACAAACTCCATTTCTTTAGAAATGCATTTTTAATAAAAATGTATTTTCCATGTTGACCATATTAACATTTGATAAATAATTATTAATTTTTTGGGAACAATTTTGTGCATTAGTAATGATTGCTTAAACTAGAATAAAATGGAATATTTTTAAGCCTTATGGTTACAGGAAATATTTTAAATATTACTTTATACATTTTCTTAGCAGAGTATAGTAGGGAAATTAATAAAAGCCTTTCTAGCATTAAAATATATTGGAGAAAACTTTTGATGGAAATGGAATGGAAATAGAAGTTCAAAGAGAAAAATAACAATACAGCTTTTTTTACTGTTAAAGAAGAGTTTGCTCACCTTTTTTTTTTTTTGATGGATGAAGGTGTTTTTCAAATTGCTGTGCTATTCACAAGATATATTTCAAGAGTGATATGTTTTAATTTGAAATTTTAGTGATTTCAGTATTCTAGAATTACAGCCTTAACAATTAAAATTATGATGAAAAAGTTTGAATGCTAACTTACAATATGTGAAAAACAGAATCCTAGCATTATCTTAATGACTGTATGAGTAAAAGTGTTTGATCAACTCTGCTCTCAAGGTTGTTTCCTCATCCAAAGTTTAACCCAGCACTGAGATTTTCTGTGGTTCTGGGTTTGTGATAAAAGGTCTGTCTTCAGTGTGAAGAGAACAGGGTGGTAATAATACCAGAAGAGGTTTCTGCCCCACTGGCTAGCAATGTTTAAAATTGTTAGGCACATATGTATATTTAGAATTGTTATACTCTCCTGCTTAATTGATCCCTTTATCATTATATAATGGCCTTCTTTGTCTAGTGTTCATGTGTATGTGTGTGGCTAGATCAGCTGGAGAGAATATGGTTTTATTGTGTCCAAGGACATGTTTTTGGTTCTCCTTTTACTAATTTGGCTTTATTTTATTCAGTGATCATTTGCTTTACCCCAGAGCCAGCTAACTATCTTTCGCATCCATGGGAACTGTTCAAAAAATTGGTGGGAGGGGTGCCAGATGAGATACTATGGATGAATATATGCATATATATATATATGTCTTTACATATTTTCACCATTATTAGCAATTCAATGCAGAGTATTTCCCCTAATGATGATTATCCTAATGTACAAAGATACATCATCATCTTGTATTCAAAAGAATGGACATTATCATATTTCAGATGCACAATGAGATCTATCAGGCATTCTTGTACAGAGAATTGAACCATATGAATGAGACGCAGCAGATGTGAGCCTTGCATTAAAAGGTGTTTTTTGTTTGTTTGTTTGTTTTTTAAATTCTGAAGGAGGAGAGTGAAGATATATAAAATGGAAAACATTGTGATACGGTAGCAAATGTAAATTTCTTATAGACTTTTATACGGATAAAGAGGTTTTAGTTTGTGATTCACAATAGTGAGGAGCTTCTCAAAGCCTCTTCTAAGATACAAGAAGCCATAATTAGAGCAGAAAAGAGATGGAATCAATACTAGTCTGATTTATTATTCCATGTTATCATTAGGGAAATGATATAAAGAGGAGACATACAGTAATGGACTTTTCCCCCTGTGTTGTAAATCAGTCCTTCTTTAATCCTTTGGTTCATCTTTCAAGCACTTTAAACCACGAGAGCATTTACTCTGTTAAATCGTTATGTTTAATGTGGCATCCTTCTATTTGAGCATCTACTTAAAAAAAAAAAAATCCAGGCACTGTAAATATTTGTCTGCTCATTGTGGAGAATTTGGATATGTTATTTTTTCTTCCACTGTGCTTACATTTAATATATGGGAAAGAAACCAAGTTTATAAACTATCTCTTGCATTCTTCTGATTTTGAATTCAGATTTAGTTTTCATTTGTGTAACAAATTATCACTTAGAAGTGATTATTTGAAGATTTTTAAAAATTGTTGTTTTGGAAAGGGCTACAGGGATCATTCATATAATCTTGAATACCTTTGTTCTTCTTTTTCCTGTTTTTCTCTTTTGCCATTGATTTGTTACTTTCATGTTAAATATATTCCCATTTTCGTAATTGCTAATATTGTTTAGTCAATTGTGTACATTACTAGTGGTAGTTCAAATCAGAAGAACTCTTGAAGAGCCTGTCTTGAAATTGAATCTTTGAGAGACCTATGCTGTCTTATCTTTCCTTTTGCCATTGATTGCTCTAAGGACTTTTGAATGATTAAGTGACTGGTGACTGGACTCAGTTATGCATAATTCTAAGAGAGACAGTGATGATTAAGTATTTTAGATGGAATTAAGGGGGTCAAGAGACATTGCTTATTTGTGCCGAAGGCTTTGTCACTGATCAAGTGCTCACGTTGTTGATGTGGTGAGCAAAAAGGGTAGGAATTAATGCAGAGCCCATTGAGATTCAATGTCAGGGAGGGAACGAGGTCCAGGGAATATGTACTGTGGAATATTTCCTGGCTTTATTAGTGGCTAGTCACTTGAAAATCGTTCCACCTTCCTGCCCTTAGTCTTGCTGTTGATTTTGGGGTGAGTTTTAAGGGTCCTTGTCTTCCTCCATGAGGAGCCTGCAGCCTTGCTATCTTTGCTACTCTTGTCCCTTTTCTTAAACTTCAAGGCCTTCTTTCATGCATCTTTTCAGGGTTGAATAAATCTATGAATTAGTGAGCTACTATGGTATCCTGACACTCAAGAAGCCATCAAGCTCAGGCTCTGTCTTAGAATCATCCTCCCAATGCCCTTTTTGCTTCATGAGCAAAATCCAATTTAGGATGTTTCCTAATAGGGACAGATGTGGTGAAAAATGTGACCAAGTACAGTTGCCATCCATCATCACTGAATCCATCGTGGTTATCTGCTGGTTTTTCAACCAAGTGATAACATAAGACTTGGAGGCTACCGATCAAGAACATTTAGAATATT